AGCCCGCTGCATGAACATGAGATTTTGTTTCGCAGTTCGAGCTGTGATACCCAAGACTTCAGTATCTAGTGCAAGCTATGGCCGTTCTCAAGAAGCCAGCCATGGATAAGAAGGCGGGGTAGCAAACCTTTATGTGCACTACATCGTTTTTTGTGCCACTGCCAGGAGCGCTCGGTGAAGGGCAAGCCTGCCCTGAAGCGGCCGGCCGCAAGCCATAGCACGAAGGTGGACGTGTTTTCTTATCGTATAGAGGCAAATAAGGATATCAATAAACAGTCCATGGTGCAATTCCCGGCCGCATCGAGGAGCCGCTGCGACTGCGATCCATGGATGAAAGAGACAAGTACCTCCTTTGGAACAGGGACCCACCTGCAGATGCAGGAAAGAACGAAGAGGAGCCGAACCTGAGCCAAGCAACGACACTGATACTTCCTGGAGATGCGGAGAACCCTCCGTTGTTGCCAGAAATGCAGTCGAAGAATGTCAAGAAACCATTGCCAGAAGAGAAGCCTCAGCCGGAGCCTGTGAAAGAAGCCTTGAAGGAAGAGGACAAGGAGGACACGAAGAAGGCAAATCTGAAGAGGCTCAAAGTGTCCTTGGAGCTCGATGTATAGGAGTGTTTTTTCACAGCAAGATCGAGGTGAGCAGCTCGAACTGGCACTCAAAAAAAGGAGCGAATGCCGAAGGGGTTGGAAACATGGGTTGGCAAGCCCAGCCCAGCATGACAGATAGGCCGGCGCCCACGAGGGCAAAGCACTCATGGTTATATTGCATGGGTTGGAAAGCCCAGTTATTGTCATTGCATGGGTCGGAAAGCACAGTTATTCATTGCATGGGTTGGAAAGCCCTGTCAGCCATGGAAAGCCCAACGCAGTGCTTCGACAAACAGGACAAGCCCCTGCAAAGAAGTGTGTATGGGTTGGGAAGCCCGGCCCAGGAATTATAATATACGTATGTATGCATGTGTGTGCATGTGTATGTGTCATACGAAATGATTCGTTTCACAACTCAAATTTCTATCTGGGTTTCCTATTGAGTCTACTGTGCATTCTCTATTGATT